CACCAGATTCCACTGTGGATTGATTATCTATATCTCCCAGCGGCGGCCGCTGGGAGATATAGATAATCAAATTAAATTTACGACGGTGTGCATCTGAGGCAGGCGAAGGCTCCCATGCCTCACATGAGCCAAACATCTGGTGATGTTGATTGTTGTGGGGAACTCGTATTGGACAATTAAATACTGTAAGCCCTATCTCAACAAGCCCTATCTCAACAAGCCCTCGTTGAATCCCTTGGCGAAATCCAAGTGTGCCCGTGCCCGCCTTGTTGGATCGCATGCCTGCCATCTCGAGATCATCTTCAACCTCTTCTGTGGCCTCGTGAATGGCCACCGGCCCCTTTGCGCCTGATTCTGTCTTTACGGTAAGTCGTGCACCAAAATGGACAAACGACACCGCACATAACTTACGTATAACATACGGCCGGCCCGTTCGCGTACCTGCCTCCCCCACCTTCCGCAAGCTAAACGCATTCCACCCCTTACCTACCGAAAAACATCAACTCGTTTCACAGCAAGACCGACCGCAACCGCCATCTGCCCCCCAAGACGTTTCGAAAATATACTCCTTCACATCACATCTTTTCCCTTGTCGCCAACTCGTCATCCTGAACAATGGTGCTGGACCATCTCAAGGACAACTTCTACATCGTCCTGTTTGCGTATTTCGCGGCCTTCCTGCCGTGGACCGCGTTGACAGCTTTCGACTTTATCTCACCGGCGTGGCGCAAGGCACGCCACGTACGCAACGCAGGATACATCAACCTGTTCCTCAGCGGTGTCCCAGCTCTTTACATCTTATTTTACATTGTGATTCAAAATGGGAACGATACCAAGGAAATGTTCACGGCGATTGTCGCATTGCTATTTGCGCTGCTGTATTTCTTGCGGACAGCGTGGGGCTTGTGGCAGCTTCGCATGTTTGTGACGTGGGCTTCCAAGAGTATTCAAGCTCTGCGGGCGCTGGGGATTCATTATAAGCCTCCGGTTGCCAAAAAGAGCAAAGATGCCAAAGAGAGCAAAGATAAGCGTAGGCGAGGAAAGGGCAAGAACGAAGGCCAGGACAAAACGAAGGTCCTGTCTGCGGATGAGATGGCGGATGAGCTGTTAGTCAGCGACGAACTCATCGAGAATCGCCTTTTTCATGGAAATGCCCGTTGTTACATGCAGTTCGAAGACATGGATATCACGACGGACTCATCGCAAAGCCACATTGTTCTCCAGCGTCTTCTGTCCATACCAATCCGATACGTGTATTATACGGTGTTGTGGTGCTTTGGGCGAAAGAGTGTGCCGAAAGTGCGTCGGGTGCCTTACGAACCGGAGGAGGTTTGGCTGCGGTGGTCTGTAGCGTTTGCTGCTCAAGGACTGGGAGGGTGGATGAAGGAGTTTCGATTTGCAGCAAAAGCCGACGAAGACTTGTCGAGTTCGAACAATATGCAGCAGTACAAGAATCGACGGGACTACGTGGCGAGCCGAGTGCTGGCCACGGCTGGATTAGAGCTGTGGCTGGGACGTTGCGTACCGCTGGGTGAGGACTCAGTTGTGTCGAAGACAGAACTATTGCAAAAAGTAGCCGAGTCAGGCTGCGGTTTGCCGTTTGATGCAAAACAGGTAAATGTGATGGAGTCACCTGAAGAGGGGTACAGGTCGTACGCTCTGAAACTATCGGGGATCATGCAGGACATGCCGGTTTCGTTTGGGAAAGAAATCGAGGGGTTTGATATCGAGAGAGTAGAGTGGCTGGCGATCTTGCTGAACATGGGGGGTGAAGTCATGTCAAAGAAGGAGGCCCAGAACACCAAGCGGGAGGAAAGAAAGTTTGAGCCGTTGCCGCACAATGATTTTGCAATGGAGAATCTGCGGGAGCAGCTGGGGATCGGGGAGAAGTTCCTTGGGGAAGTTGTGCAGGGGAGAAGCATTGCCAGTCTGAGTGCGTTCCCGCTGCCGGAATGGTGCTTTCATTTGGTGTCGGGTGAGAACCGAATGGTGACGAAGATCGGGGAGCTGATGGATTGCGGGCTGGCACTGATGGCCGGGGGTCAGGTGCGATTTATGGTTGAGAAAGATGAACGTTGGGAGGAGCGCTGTATTGGACCAAAGACGACAGAGACTGGAGCATTTTTGAACGATGACGAGGTATGCACGGATGAAATTGAATCGAAAAGTAATGGTGTATTTACAACGCATGTGCGGTTAGAAGAAGCGAGGCTTGCATATCAGTTTGGTGTACCACTGCAAGAGTTTGAACATGTAGAGCAGACGCTGACTTTCATGGGTCATTCTCTTGAAAGCCTACGAACAAGACTCGGAGGATGGGTGAAGGGAAACGAAGATGCACAGGCCAGGGCTTGGAGACCTGTTTTGTTTAAGAGTGGAGAAAGGAAAACAATGTGGGAGAAAGTCGGGGGTCTGTCTGCAGAGCTGTCACAAACGGTTTGTGAGAGAGGTGAGAAATGTGTTCTGAAAGATCGTGGGGTCCAATCGCGGTTGGTATGGGAGTTGCAAAACATTGTTCGAGAGGGAATGTGTGGAGCTGAAGGGTGCCCGAGTGCGATACGGGCAGTGGCACTATGCCTACTTAGTTTCCCTGCGATCGAGGTGACAAGGATGGAAGATGGGATTGGAGGGGCTGGGGAGCAACAGAGGTCGAGGGAAGCGGGAGAAGTGGAGATCAAGCAAGAAGAGAGCTGTGTGACTCTCGTATTGGGAAGCGGGGAAGAAGCACAAGACCAGACGGGCAGGATCAAGACGGTTGAGTTGACAATAACGGCGATGTGCGCCCCGCAACAGACTAAGCTCGATATTCGACTCCAGTACACAAGCGAGCATGTGCATGAAGTGAGTGTACGGTTACGTCGTGGGGAAAATGGTGCAGAGGGGGTGTTCGAGTGGGAGTGGTGGCGAGATGCGGCGATGGGGCGCATGGAGGGCCTAAAGCGATGGCAAGAGAATCACGAAATGGAAGCAGTGGAATTCCGTACGTCTAGACTCGCAATAGACTCTGGTTTGCGGATTGTAGATTCAGCGGGAAGGGAGAGTGGGCATGAGTTTGTGACGTGGGCGGGATGGGAACCGTTCCGAACGAAACATTGCAAACTTGAAGTTGAGAGTGAGAAACTGCTGGTGGAGTTTGCCGTGACACGGCAGCCAGGGTCCCTTGCTGTGAGAAACAAGAAAATATATTACAGTGTCGACCGTATGGTGGGAAGGAGACGCTCTGTCGGGTATGCAGAAGCAAAGCTTGAGTCGATCCGTGATGGGTGTCTCATTGTGAGAGAAGCACTGCTTACAGAAGGCACGAGGGTTGTGGAAAGTGGCACGGCGCTGTCGAACCAGACTGAAGACACCAAGGACGTGATTCGTAAGGCCGAGAATCTGATTGGCGGAGGACATGAAAATTTCGGGAGGGCCATTTTTCTGCTCAAGGTAGCGGCACTGGAGAGGAATGACATTGGCGCTCTGTGCACATGTGTGGAGCTTTTGAGGAAAGGGGGGCCGACAGGGATGCATGCGGGGAGGACATCGAACTTGAGAGAAGCGGCGCAAATGATCAAAGTGTTCTTTCATGCTAAGTTGCATACAAGCTTGACATCTACGTCAACACGCGGTGACGATGGGTTTGAGAAGTTGTTTGATTTGTTTGCAAAGCTAGTGATGGAGCAGAGTTGTGATGGAGTGATCGTGGATTTGTTCGTAGATGCGCTCGAAGATGCGATTGAGTTTGACGTGGCCGGAAACCTTCGAAAATTTCATGCATGGATACGAAAAGCGATTGTGTGTTCCCGGAAATGGAATCAGTTGGACAAGCTTGCCAATTTTTCGGACTTGGCGGTTGGAAATGGCGGGGATGTGAAGTCGAGGGAGGCAAAAGGTGATGGTGCTGGAAAGGAGGCCTTTTTCTCCGAAGGAAAGGTGACCGAGTGTGACGATATGACGTATGATCTTGTTGGCAAGGCTTTACTGGAACGCATGATAAGCGAATACGCGACGTTGTCTTCAAGAGAAGGAATTTGGATTGTGCTGGGTACTGCCGGTCAGGGGGCTCCTCGGTGTGCGAGAGAGAGACAATATGCGGGAAGTCAGGATGAGAATTCAAGCGGAAACGCCATGAATACCCTTGGACTTCTTTTCACGCTAGGGGCACGAGGGGTGGGTCGTGACGCTCGACAAGCCAAACTTCTATACGAGACTGCGATCGAAGAGAATGAAAACTGTAAGGCGATGTATAACCTCGCTCTTTTGCTCTCAGAAGGTGGGGATGGAGTAGAGCGTGACGCAGTGCGATCTATGGAGCTGTATGAGCGCGCTATTGAGAAGGGTGAGGACGTCGGTGCCATGGTGAATCTCGGTAATTTGCTGAAACAAGGAGCCGAAGGAGTAGAGCGTAACGCCGTGCGATCTATGGGCCTGTATGAGCGCGCTATTGAGAAGGATGAGCACGTCGGTGCAATGGTGAATCTC